CATTTTAAAAGAGTTTTTATGCAGCAAATGTACCCAATGCAATATGTCATTTGTTTGATCTTTGGACTGCTGCTTCTATGAGCTCTGATTGTGGATCTAAGCAAGATAAAGTCCCTGAGAACTTCCATTTTCTCTGTTTATCATGATGTTACCTGTTGGTCCAGTTGTGAGGATTGTTGTTTTCCTTACCTTAGGTTGTAATCTCTGTTAAGGGTTGCAGTCCTTGATCTTCCTCAGCAAGTGCTTCCAAGTGCTCATGGAAGCAGCAGTCAATAAATGGCATATAGCTTTGGCCAAATCTACCACACAAGTCTTTATGTTTTTAAACATTTTATTAGGGGCTCTTACAGAGATTAATTGCAATCCATAGTTCCATTACATAAAACATATTATATCATTGCTGCCATCATCACCCACGTCTTCTATAAAATGTTGAAAAGCAGGCTGTCACTTTGAGGACTAAGGTGTCTTGACCTGAGGCATGATCGTTTCGATTGCTGTAGATACCAAACCTGGACAGTGAATAAGGGATTGAGACCTTTGCTTTAAGGTCTTGGTGAAGATTATTGAAAGTGTCATGGACTGCCAAAAAAGAAAGAAACCTGTCTTGGAGGCAGTAGAGTCAGATTGCTCCTTGAAACACTCCTCATCTCAAGTATTTTGGACATGTGCTCAGGAGAGCCCCGTCTTCTAAAAACGGAGCACATGCTTAGTAAAGTAAGGGGCAGCGAAAGGATCTCCATGAGATGGATGGACACAGGGACTTCCAGCAGTGGGTTCACATATAAGAACCATTGGGAGGATGGCACAAGACCAGGAGGGTTTTCTTCTCGTCTACATAGCCAAACACTGCCATCAAGTCCATGCCAACGCATAGTGACCCTATAGGAACTTCCTCTGTGAGTTTCCAAGACTATAATTCTTTATGGGAGTAGAAAACCCCATCTGTCTTCTGAGGAGTGGCTGGTGTTTCAAACTGCTGACCTTGCAGTTAGCACCCCAACACATAACCACTCTGCCACCAAGGCTCCTTCCCTTCTACACAGGATAGCTGAGTTGGAACCATCTTGACACCGAACAACTACAACCGCATTCAGGCATATTCATTATATTCACAACCTCAGAACCGTCATGAATTATTATTGTCTTGGTAAATGTCAATACCTCAAACAGAATAACAGAACCCAATAAGCAATAACCCTTCATCTCCCCACCCCCTCATGCCAATCTCTATAACCGCTAATCAACTCTCTGGCATTTGCCTATTGGCAGACTTAATACCTTTTCTTATTGAAATAATTTTGAACTTAAAGAAAATTTGTAAAAAGAGTTCACGGAGTCCTATTTGCCCATCTCTCAGCTTTCCCCGATGATCATACATCACCACAGTTGTGGTTCTGTATGGGTCAGCATCCAGTACAAACGTTGTCAGGTGGCACTGACAGTTCCAACTCCTAGCCGCTCTGTGTACACCAGACTGAAACACCACCCAGTCCTGTGCCGTCCTCACAGTTGTTCTTGTTTGTTTCTTCACAATGTTCTGATGTCTGAGCCCATTGTTGCAGCCACTGTGTCCATCCATCTTGTGAGCGCCTTCCTCTTGCTCACTGCCCTCTACCAAGCACGATGCCCTTCCCCTGGGACTGGTCTCTCCTGACAACATGTCCAAAGTAACAAAGTCTCACCATCCTGCCTCTAAGAAGTATTCTGTCTGTACTTCTTCCAAGACAGATTTGTTTCTTTTCTTTTCAGGCCACAGTACTTTCAATATTCTTTGCCAGCACCATGATGCAGATGCAACAATTCTTCTTTGGTCTTCTTCAGTCAGTGGCCAGCCTTCACGTGCTTAGGAGGCGATTTAAAAGACTATGGCTTGGGTGAGAACACCTTAGTCCTCAAAGTAACCTCTTTGCTTTTCAACATTTTAAAGAGGCCTTGTGCTGGAGATTTACCACATGCAATGAGTGTAACCATAGTGGGGGGCGTGGGGTGGAGACAGGACATATACCTAGGCACAATACTTTTTTCAGACTTTGCCTTTCTACATAAGCAAATGTAACCAAACCAAACTCAAACTGCCAACAAGTTGATGGTGACTCATAGTGTAACCCTATAGGACAGAGTAGAACTTCGTCTGTGAGTTTCCAAGACTGTAACTCTTAACAGGAGTAGAAAGCAGAAAGCCCGCCTTTCTCCCGTGAAGTGGCTGGTGGTTTCAAACTGCTGATCATGTGGTGAGCGACTCAACTTGTTACCTCTACGCCACCAGTGCTTCTCTACAGAGGCGTTTTATTTGACTAATCAAATCTTCAAACTCTGACCCACGACTTCTACTTATTTCACTTCACAGTATATCAACTGTCTTTCCTTGTCAACACAGAATGACCTCATTAGCGCATGTATACAAAGAGCTCAGGAACGTTTGAACAGCACTTCTGATTGACTTTCACTTCACTTGGCTAGTTTAGGTGGGTCTTGGGTCTAAGACCCCTCATGGTTTGAAAACAAGATGGTTCCTTTGTTTTGAGAACAGGATGTTTGTGGCAATTGCTTTATGAGTTTATAGTGAAAGTTAATGAACAATGAAACTGGCCTTTCTGGTTGCAACGGGTTTAGTTCCCTTAACTACTTCTCAGGGTTAGTTTACAACTCCAAGAGGACTCCTCCTCTTACCATGCATTATCATTATTATTTTTAAACTTTCACAAGATGACCGTTGATGTCATGGGTATGAGAGCGTAGTGTGTTTTCACAAGGCAGGACTTGTCATCTTCCGGCCCTCAGTGGGCAATGAATTTCAGGGAGCGGTGCTTGTTTTCCTGAGGTGGTTGGAGAAAAAATGAAATTATTAGCGGATTGAGGATATCCATGCAGGAGATGAACAGCAGGCAGCTGGGAGGCAGGGGGATTTCTCAAATGTTGGACAGGGAGCTCTAGGCACATCAGGCCCACCCACAGGGGGCCACTTGGGACCTCTCCTGGCAGTGGACTCTACAGCTCAGTGGACCCCACGGGCTGGCCAAAGACAGCTGTTTCTGTGTGTTCTGGACTGAGTGGAGAGAGAGGAAGAAGATTCTGGCAGGTGGTGAAAGGGGCCATTCCCTCCTGAGGTTTTCTTGGCCTCTGGTGTTGAACACAAGGTTCTGCCTTTAAAATGCAATTTGTCTTAAATTAGCCCAATGGGGATGGATCACAGGGAGGAAATGGGAGGCCCTGCCCTGTTGTTGATTGTTTTGCTAGTTATTTGGTACATGGCTCCCTTGCCCCTCGAAGAGAACTAGTATCTGCGATTCTTAAGTAAAGCTGCACTCTTTTTTTAAAATTTTATTTTATTGGGGACTCTTACAGCTCTTATAACAATACATTCATCAATTGTATCAAACACATTCGTACATATGTCACCATCATCATTTTGAAAACTCTTTTCTGCTCAAGCCCTTGATATCAGCTCCTCTTTTTTCCCCTCCCTTCCCCACCCTAATAAATTGCAAATTATTATTATTATTTTCATATCTTACACCGTTTGCTGTCTCACTTTGCCCACAGTTTCCATTGTTCATCCCTCTGGGGCCAGGGAAGGGCACGAAGCTGCACTCTTTCTGCTGGGAATGCATTTGTGTGGGAAACACTGGAGCCTCCGCCCACCCCCTGGGGCCCTGCCCTGGGGTGGGCATCCAGCTGAGGGGTCAAAGGGCACAGCAGACTGGGTTCTTGCCCTGGAGACCCTCCAGGTTGAAGTGGGTGAGGGGAAGATCGCTGCTTCTTGCAGAGAACTGGTCAGGCCCACAGCAGCGGGGTAGGTTCTCAGTGGGTTTGTTCAGACATGACTTTAGAGTCAGCCAGCAGCTGAAGGCAACTGTGAGGGAACCCTTGCCGTTGGCGTTGGGTGACTCACTCACTGGTTTTGTTTCAAGGTGGGTATAGAGCCAAGGCTGGAAAGGGAGGGTCTGCCTAGAAAGGAGCCCTGGTGGCTCAGTGGTTAAGCACCCTGCCGCTCCCTGGTAGGTCAGCAGTTCCAACCTGCCAGTGACGCCACAGGAGAAAAGACCTTGCGAGCTGTGCCTGTGCAGACTTAGCCTGGGAACCCTGGGGGGCAGGTCTGCTCTGTCACAGAGCATCTCTGAGCCAGCAACGGCTCAGCCACCACCTGCCTGGGCTTGTCTGCTTTGGGTGGCTGTTCTCACTGCCAGGCCAGAACGCAACCCCTCTGCTATCAAATGTATCCCAACTCACAGTGACCCTTATGTAGGACTCTGAGACTGTAAATCTTGATGGGAGCAGGCAATCTCATCTTCCTCCTCCAGAAAGGTTGGGTGGGTTTGGATGGAACTGCTGACCTAGAGGTTAGCCATCCAACATTTAACCCACAATGCCACCAGGGCTGCTACAATACGTTCTCAGTAAATGTCAAAGTACACTTCTCACTCACTGACATTGAGTCATCCTGAATCAGAGTGACCCTGCAGGACAGAGTAGAATTTACCCTATGAGTTTCCAAAACTGTTCATCTTTACAGAAGTAGTAAGCCTCATCTTCCTTCCGAGGAGCAGCTGGTGGTTTCGGACTGCTGACCTTGCCTATTATGCCACCACGGCTCCTCCACGTGGCAGTGGTTAAGTGGGCAGACCCTGAAGTCAGCCTCCTGACTCGAAGTCCCAGTTCTATCCTGTGGCCTCTCTGGACGTCAGTGTTTTCGCCTGTAAGATGAGATAGCAGTGATGCTGTATTTCCCCGATGGATGACCTAACACCCGGGTCTTGGGGCAGCGGCTGGCATAGAACTAACTCACCAGCATTCATCTTCACCACTAGTTTGCTGGTTGGATGAATGAGTAGATTGCGGCCACATTTAGGGAGATCTAGACAGTTTCTGGCTGAAGGAGTTTCCTTTATTCAGTTCACTGTTGCCCTCAATTGAACGATGTCAAGGGCCGAAGACGGGGTCCCAGTTTTTCCAGACTGGATATCCTGCAGGTATCATAGAAACTAGAGCAGTGCGTAATGTCGACTCACCTGAGCCTCCAGGGTATGCTTTTGTGTGAGAGCTCATTTGCTGGTGCTCCTCTTCCTCTACCACCACCACTACCTCCACTTGCTGTTGAGGGACTCTGACTGGTGGAGACCCCTTGTGGCAGTGTAGAACTGTGCTGACTTTAGATATAGATCATCAGACTTTTCTTCTAAGGTGCCTCTGGGAAGACTGGAATCACCAGTCCTTCAGCTGGCTGTCGAGCATGCCAACAGGGACTCCTTTGGTCTTCCACCAAGGGTTTCCTGAGTCCCTGGTGGGCTCAATGCTCATCCAGCAGGACACAGCAGAGAATGAGATGGGCAGGGAGCCTGGTTGTAGTATCTAGGGGCAGAAAATGGCCCAATACATTCCAGGAAAGCTGTGAAGGGTATACAAGAGTCAAGTACCACAAGGGGGATATACTGGAGAGGAGACAGGGATGGCCCATCTTCTGGCCACACCCTCTCCTCAGTTCCCCGGAGATTAAGTGGGCTGGGTCTAGAGGCCCATGAGGTTTGAGGCCAGACTACCTTGGGCCTTCAGCCTCATGATGGCCAACCCATATATAAAAGTCCCTTAAAGTCTGTGGCCTAGTGAACCTATATGAATCCCCTGCCTCCCTCACCAGGAGAAGGTAAAAATGCCTCCATCGCCTTTGGAGCAGGCTCACCTAGGCTGCACAGTGGTTCAGTTGTGTCTGGCATCAGCACTGGCAATGCATGCTCCTAGCCCCCACCCTCCCTTTCTCTCTCTCTGTCTCTCTAAACCTGGAGAAGGAATTTATTCCCTGAAACCTCCGAAGAAACCAAAGCTGGACAGCTTGGACAGGGCCCATCAGAGTCCAGAGTTGGACTGTTTGCCTGCCCTTGAAGAGTCCAAAGATACATTGGGACCATCTTCCCCTGCAGAGCCCAATGACAATCAAGCCAGAGCGGCAGCCTCCAGGTAAGTGGCTCAGAATATTCCAGGTATGGGGACTGGGGTTGGAAGGGGTGGGGGTCCACGTGTCCCCTTGCAGGTGTCTCCCATGAGGGCTTTTACCCCAAGACTGTCTGTCCTGTTTGCAAGAAAAGTCAACGTTTTAACCCTGAGCCTATGAAGTCTTGAGTTGTTCAAGGTCACATTCAGTTACAGAATGTAACTCGATGAATTGTCTGTTGGTCAAATCCCATATCCCACACTCCTTCTGCCCTTAGTCAAGAAGAGTATGAAGCCCTAAAACCATGCCCAGTGAAATAAGTCCGTCTCAGGACACACACGCATCCAGGACCATGTACGAGGGGGAACCCAAAATTGGAATTTTTTTCAAAGATATTGATTAAGAATTTGTTTTATAAAACAACCCTTATCACCAGAGATCGGGTGAGTAAGGTGTGTGGGGCAAGAGAGGCATGCTGTTTTTTGCCAAAAACTGGTGCACCGAGATGGCTGCATGAGCAGGTGCATTTTGTCGTGGTGGCAGCACCAATCCCCTGTCTGCCACAAATCAGGCTTTTTTTGTCGCATCCTATTATGCAATCTTTTCAGAACCTCCAAATAGAAAGCTTGATTAGCAGTCTGACCTGGTGGAATTAATTCCAAATGCACTATTCCCCTCATATTAAAAAAAAAAAAGAGCATCATCTTGGTCTTTGATTTCACTTGACTAGCTTTTTGGGGTGAGGTGATATGGCATCTCTCACTGGCTTGATGTTCGGTTTCAGGGTCGTAAGAATAGCACCATGTCTCATTAACAGTAATGACCTTGGGGAAAAAGGTCAGGGTCACTTCAGAGCAATCCCCTCACTTTGCCATCACTTTTCCCACTTTTCCTTGCGTCTTCTATTTGCATTCCTCTTTCTTGCTTGACCCTCCCAGCTTTGTCCTTGGGTAAATGCTGCCCCTTTGATCTTATATTGTTGATTATTCAAACCACAACATGTTTCTACTGGATGCTCTTTTTCCTGGTCAGTCAGAACCCAGAGTACACATTTTGTAATGGCCTTTCTCATTCCCAAATCTTCCATTAAAATTCACTGAACCAAGCTCCAAGATAGTCCAGATAACTTCCCCAATTCTTCAGTGGTCTGTCGCCAGTCTTCGAGCACAAGTGCATGAGTTTTGTCAACATTTTCATCCATTTGGAAAGTTGATGGATGTCCCAGAACAAGGTTTGTCATCAATCACCATTTTACCTTTTTTAAATCAAGAAAACCACTCGTACATTTGAATTTTTCCCCATAGTGCTGTCCTTGTAATCTGTATTCAACAACAAAATTTCACAGCCGCATTGCTGTTCTCTTAAATTAGCCATCACAAAAAAACGAGATTCAAGAAAGACTGTTTCTATGAAAAAATTTACTGTGACCAGAGAGAACCTTCCCAGAAAGTGCCATTGGGTGCGCTAAGTCAGAGCAAGTTGCTCGATGCTAATTTTCCTTTTTTGTGTGTGGGGTACCCCCTCGTATACAAGGGGGCTTTAAAACATTTTTAGTCCAATGCCATTCTTTTTTTTTTTTATATATATATATATATATGAGCAAATGCCTTTATTCTTGTTGATTGAAATCTTAATGCTTTGGTTTCCTTTAATTTTTTTTCCATTCTTTTTTAGTACTATTTCCACATACTTTTTGAAGTCCACCTTGTATTTTTACCACTTTTTTTTTTTAGAAAGCTAAGAATGATCGATTTGTTCCAGGCAGTATGTTAATGCACATAACACTTTTCATATATATGCTTATTTTATCCTCATGGCTCTGTGTTGTTTTTATCTCCAGTCACAGATGAGGGTCCTAAGGCTTAGACTTAGATTGAGGTGCTCAAGGACCCTAGGCTAGTGTGGGCCAGAACTGGCATTCCAGCCTATTTCCAGTTCCCAACATTGTCACTCTCTGGATCTTTTATTATCTCAACAGATATGTAACTAAGCATGTGAATAAAAAGACCTCAACAATCTAGTCTGCTCACAGGATTAATCCCCATGCAAGAATCACAAAGTTCTGAGGGTTAGTGGAAGTTGAGAAAGAAGGATCCTGAAGCTATTGTCTTCAAAGGAGGCATTATAGATCCAATAACCACATTTTATGAAAAGCCTATTGAGGCAGGTGTGTGTGTGTGTGTGAGAGAGAGAGAGAGAAACTGAGAATGAGGTGAAGCAGATCATCTGTGTTACATTTAGCAAGTCATACACATTTTGTTTCAGCTCATCTGAGCAATCCCCTCACTTTGCCATCACTTTTCCCACTTTTCCTTGCGTCTTCTATTTGCATTCCTCTTTCTTGCTTGACCCTCCCAGCTTTGTCCTTGGGTAAATGCTGCCCCTTTGATCTTATACTGTTGATTATTCAACCAGAGCTCCATTCCAGACCTGCAGGGTGACTAAGTCTTGGGAGTCCACCAATCTCTTTCAACCTGTAAGTCTGATCGCTTCTATGATTTTGAGTTTTGTTCCACATTTTTCTCTCACTCTATCCAGAACCTTCTAATGTGTGTTTTTTCAGAGCAGTTGGTAGTGGTAGCCAGGCGTCATCTAGTTCTTTTGGTCTTGGGGGTGTGGTGTGGAGACTGACATTTGGGTGGTCTATTAGCCCATTGGACTAGTGTTTTCCATATGTTTTTCAATTTTCATCCCTCTTCTTTCCTCTGGATGGAGAGAGACCTGTGGGTGCACTTTAGATGCCTGCACTCCTTGGTGAACTTTGCCTCCATTGTGCACCACCAGATGTGTGGATATGTTTGCAGCAAAGGTAGATGCACATATATAAATACCCCGTCAAGTCTGTAGGTATTTGTGGAGATACTCCCACTCCCCCTCTACTACCTGTTCAGCCTACATGTCCAGCTAAGCATCTACTCATAGATCCCCACTATTTCAGGATTGTATGGATAACAGGATTTGAAACAGAGCTGTTTTCTGGTGTGTGTGTCTGTCTGTCTGTCTTATTTGGCGCCATTGCACTTTTAGGATTAAAGGCTAGATCAGGAGGCCAGAAATACTGACTCCCAGGTCGGCCCCAGGCAGCCCTATTCTAAGTACTGGGAAAAGAGGTGAGGAGAAGATGGAACACCTCAGGACCCCGCCTCAGATAGACAGGAAGACATCCCTGCCCCTGGCCACTCCTGACGTCAGATCTCCGGAGGCCAGGGGCCAGGACCTCCAGATCTCCAGAGGCCAGGGGCCTGCCCTCTGAGTCCAGGATAAGAAAGGTGGATGCTGTGTATGCCCACCCTTTTATGTTTGTTTGTTTTTAAGTGTTTCGTTATGAAAACCCCAGGTACAGAACCATAACACGCCAGAAAACAGAATGTACAGCAAAGTTTAAAATACGTATGTTGAGAACTGAAACACAACCAGCATCCCTGAAGCTGCTTGCACCACCCATCCCAATGTGTCTTAAGTATTCTAACAGACTTCCTCTTATTAATTCCCAGACTTTATATGCCTCAAAACCTCCGTTGGGACAATCAGAGTCCGTGAGCGTATTTTCATGCCGCTTCATGACTCTTCTTGCGCCACCTCCAAAGTGGGAATCATCTGGTCTTTTTCACAATATGCGTGTTCTTGTACATGCCGTCGAGTCCATTCTGACTCCTAGTGACCGTTTACAATGGAAGAGAGCCGCCCCACAGGGCTCCTGGCATCTTTCAGGAGGCAGATCACCAGGTCTTTGACCCCCAGAGTCGTGGAGGTCAACCTTTTGGTTAGCAGCCGAGTGCAAACCAGGGCTCCTTATACTATACATACAAACACTTATTCACACAGAACCAGAATTTGGCCCCCTTTAAGTCTCTTATTAAAATATTTCTTTTATTTAACCCAGTAGATTGAAAATATTATTTTTTCAAGATGGAACCAATATGGTATTGCTGACATAATTTACACTCCTTTGTTTTTGTCCCCAGCCTTCAATGTCCAGTATGTATTCAACACACAGCACATCTCAATTGCAGTAGCCGCATGTCCAGACTAGCAGCAGGGCTGGAGTTCAGGTAGAAAGGTCGGTGTAGGATGCCTCTAAACCAGGGGTTCTTAACCTGTGGGTCGCGACCCCTTTGGGGGTCGAATGACCCTTTCACAGGGGTCACCCGATTCATAACAGTAGCAAAATGACAGTGATGAAGTAGCAACGAAAATAATGTTATGGTTGGGGGTCATCACAACATGAGGAACTGTATGAAAGGGTCGCAGCATTAGGAATGTGGAGAACCATTGTTCTAAGCCAGCATTGTTCTTCCTCCAGTTCCTAGGTTGCCTTAGAAACCTCATCTTCCAAACCAAGAAGAACCCTAATTTAGACTAAACCCTCTGGGCAAGTCCCAAACCCACTGGTGTTAGGAAAAAAAATATCCAGGAAGGACATTGTAGAGGGCTTGTCCTTTGACCTTTTGGACTGATGTTAACTGGAGGGTACAAAACAACTGGCTAAACTCAAAACCTGATTGTGGCTGGTATTCATTTAAGGGGTCATGGTAGTGCAGTAGGCACTGTGATAGTGTAGTGGGTTGTGCATTGAGCTGCTAACTGCAAGGTCAGGCGTTCAAACCCAAGATTCTCCCTACCGGAGACAGGAGGGGCTATTTACTCCTATAAAGATTTAGAGTCTTGGAAACCCAAAAGAGCAGTTCTATGTCCTTTAGGGCTGCTTTGAGTTGGATTTGACTGATGGCAGTGAGTTTGGTGTTTTGTGTGGTGATGCAGTGGTTATGACACAAATGATGCTAAGCAAATGGTTGACAGTTCAGCCCCACTTTTTGATCCACAGGGGAAAGACCTGGTGATGAGTAAAGCCTAGGAGTCATTCTGCTCTGTCTATATGGTCGCTACAAACCAGAATTGATCCAGTGGCACACATTTGAGAAACGGAACCCTCATGCCACAGTGGTGGTTGCTGTCCATCCAGAGGTTCAGAAAGACCCAGGACTTGCTTTTGTAAGGATGAAAAGCCAAAACCCAGCCCATTGCCCTGGTGTTGAGTCCTATACAGAGCTATAAAGATTCCAGACTCACTGCTCTTAAGCAGATTCTTCTCCATCGCTGCAAATCTTCAGAAGAGCAGAAAACCTCACCAGCAGTGGCTGGTGGGGTCAAACATATGATCTTGTGGTTAGCGTTACCCACAGCGCCACCAGGACTACTCCTTGAAAATTCCAGAAAGAATATACCATTTGGGGTTTATCTAACTGCTTCCTCTTTGACAAGGTGGATTGGCACACTGGTTGCAACAACGGACTCAATCATTACAACAATTGAGAATGGTGCAGGACTGGGTGGTATTTTGTTCTGTTGGACATAGGGTCTCTCTGAGTCAGAACTGACTCAAGGGCCCCTAACCACAACAACATGATCTTCCCCCACTATCCTCGGGAATTGTCCCTTGTTTGCACCCAGTCTACTTTATAGGTGGCCTAGTGCTTTTGAGTTCCATTAAGGTATCAGATAGTATCATTTGCATAGAATAAGCCACACAGGGAGCCAGAGTACATACACTGGGTGATGGGTGACCCTTGGGGGTGTAGCTTTGGACTTCTTTCGGCCAAGTCGGCAGTTTGAATCCACCAGTGCTCCTCAGGAGAAGGATGAGGCTTTCAGCTCCCATAAAGATGTACAGCCTCGGGAACCCATAGGAGCAGTTCTTCACTGCCCTGTCGGGTCATTGTGACTTGAAGTGACTCGATGGCAGTGGGGTTGGCATAGAATTTTTGGTAGGTGACTTGCTCTAGGTAGTTGTTGTCAGGGCCATAGAGTTTTGTAGTTGCTATCAGTCAGTCCATATAATCTGGGTCTCTGAATGAAAGCCCATGCTTCCTTTGCGCTTTGTTTTAAGCCCTTGTCCCAGCCCTGCCACTTCATGTCAACATCATTAAAATGTGTCCACATCTCTCTATATAAAATTTATTGGTAATACTTGCTCTTTTGTCTTTATTTCTTTGCTTTCTTTTCTTCTTTCCCTTAATTTCTTGATTCCTTCCTACCCAGTCCCCTCTCCCCAGCCCCAGATAGCCGCTGATCTACTTTTCTAGGAGTGCTATTAGGTAAGCATTGGACTGCTAACCACAAGGTTGGTGGTTCAAACTCACCAGCTACCCCATAGGAGAAAGATGAGGCTGGCTGCTCCCCTAAAGATGTACAGCCTCAGAAACCCTGTATAGTGTCACTATGAATTAGATTGATTTATATTTTTTAATGTCCTGTTTTATTGATAAATTCTTGGGGGGGAAATATAGAGGAGATAATTTGCTGTTTCTATTTTTGGGAAATCTTATATATAGTCACTATGAATTGGCAATTAGTTAACATTATTTGGTTGATTCATAGTTTTTAAGTCCCTGTTTTATTGATTAGTCTGTGGTAAAAAATATATATAGAAAAAATGTTGGTGGTGAGTTTGTCTTTTCTCTTTTCACCTTCTTTTCACATTTCAGGACTCTTCTTGTTCCCCACAGTGAAGCTAGTGGGTCGCTCAGAAACAGATGCCTGGGGCAGAGCCATTTCCATCTTCCCCTTCTCTAGACCTCTTCCAATCAAAACGAGTCTGGAGAAGTCACGCCTGTGTGATTTCCCTTCCAGTAATACACTGCTGGGTTGGGAAGCCACTCACATACCTTTGCTTCTGTGCATTTGCCTGTTCTAGATATTTCAGCTAAGTTGAATCATAAAATAGTTGTCCTTTTGCTTCTGGCTTATTTCCCTCAATAGAATGTTTTCAAGGTTCACCATGCTGTAGCATGATGACGACACTTCTCTTTTGCCTGCATAATATTCCGTTTATGGAGGGACCATGCTTTGTTCACCCATTTGTCTATTGATGAACACTTGGGCACTTTCTGCCTTTGGGTTATTGTAAATAATGCTGCTGTGGACATTGGTACTTGCCCACTTGCCTGCAGTTCTGTGTGTGTGTGTGTGTGTGTGTATCTGTGTGGACACATACATACACACCTAGGAGTGGATTTGCTGTGTCCGATGGCAATTCCTGATTTAACTTTGTGAGGAACAACTAAACTTTACCACAATGGTTACACCACTGTACGGAGGTGGTACCAGAAAAAAACCAGAATTGTACTTGGCAAAGCAGAGCTTTCATAGTATGCATTTTTCCCACTAAGCAAGCAACTTGCCCTGAGTGAGTGCACCCAGTGACTTTGCCTCGAAAGGTTCTCTCTGGTCACAGTGAAATGTTTTTGTAAAAGCAATTTTGCTCGAACCTCATTTTTTGTGAAGGCCAATTTAAGAGAACAGTATGAGGCTGTGAAATTTTGTTTCTTGCTAAAGAAAAATGCTGCAGAAACTGTTGTGATGTTGAGCACAGCTTATAAGGACAGAACTATGGTAAAAATTAAAGTGTATGAGTTTCCAAAAAGGTGAACTGTCCATGAATGACAAACCCTCATTCTGGACGTCCATTAACTTCCTAAATTGACTAAAATGTTGATTTGTAGTGCATTTGGAGTTCATTTTACCAGACTATTATTCAAGCTTTCTGTTTGGAGGTTCTGAAAAGATGCATAAAAGAGTGTGACAAAAAAAGGCCTGATTTGTGGCAGATGGGGGCAGGGGGGTGGGACAATACTGCATGACAATGCACCTGCTCACACAGCCATCTCTGCATCCGTTTTTGGCAAAAAACAGCATGCCTCTCTTGGCCCATGCACCTTACCTACCTGACTTCTCTCTGCACCACTTCTTTTTGTTTCCACCAATGAAGAGGGACATGAAAGGACAGTGATTTGATGACATAGAAGAGGTGAAGAAAAAAAACGAGGTGTTGTGCTGTCAGCCATCCAAACAGATGAGTTTGAAAAATGTTTCCAAGAATGGAATTGCAGATTTGACAAATGTATTAAGTGTAATGGAGAGCACTTTGAAGGTGATAAGATTTTATATAAAAATTTTTAATACAAAAAAAGTTTTAAGACATAGCTTGGAAAAAAAGTATTTTTGGTGGAGGTACCCCCTCATATGTACCTACTAACAATGGATAAGGATTCCAATATCTCCCAATCCTGGCTAACTCTTTCTCTCTCCTGTGTGTGTGTGTGTGTGTGTGTGTGTGTGTGTGTGTGTGTGTGTGTTATAATAGCCAATCAAGTGAGTGTGAAGTAGTGCTTCACTGTGGCTTTGATTTGCAGTAATCACTGGCACTGGGCTGCTGACTAAGGAAGAGGTTGGTGGATGGCCCTCTCTATCTTCTCTGCATTGGGAGCAGCTCACCTGCCACCACCCCTCATCCCCTAAAAATGTATGCCTGTGCCAAATTTGTCTCTACCCCTTCCCTCGTCAGGAGCACCTCCCAGCTACTGAGCTGGCCATTGTCTGTGTTGGTGCAGAAACAGCCCGAGACAACTTGCAGATGAGCACTTCAGCTGCTTAAAAACCCCACGTTCCCTGACCTCACTTATCCCTAGTTGAAGCTTCCAGACCAGCACCATCTCAAGGGATATTGACACAGCCGCCAAGTTCACTGGGGCCCGGGCTGTCACAGTTGGAGTGGCGGTCTCTGAAACACATTGGGACTGTGTTTGGGAGCTTCATCATTGGTTGTGCCAGAAACCCTTCTCTGAAGCAGCAGCTCTTCTCCTGTGCCATTCTGGGCTTTGCCCTCTCAGAGGCCATGGGCTTCTTTTGCCTGCTGATGGTCTTCCTCATCTCTTCGCCATGTGAAGGAGCCATCTCCACCTCCCTTAATTCTCTGTCCTGTGTCTTGTCTGCCCTATATAGTCCTTTCCCTGCATCTCCCTGGGCAGCCTGGGGAAAGTATTTGGCTCAGAGTGTGACAGAGGGAAGACAAGTAAATACTGCATTAATAAAGAGGGAAAAAAAAAAAGGTTTGTGGATGGAATCACCAGTAGCTCTACGGGAGAAAAACCTTAGCCATCTGCTTCCCTAAAGAATGCAGCCTGGGAAAGCCTGTGGGCCCGTGGTACTCTGTCCTTTCGGGTCACTGCAAGTCAGAGTCGACTGACAGCACACAGCAATAGAGACTAGTGTCATCAAGCATTCTTCATGGGCCTGTTGGCCATTTGAATACCTTCTTTGGAGAAATGTCTGTCTTTTGCCCATTTCCAAATTGAGTGATTAATCTTTTTGTCTTGGGGTTGTAGGAGGTCTTTAGATATTCCAGATATTAAACCCTTATCTGATAAATGAGTCTCAAATATATTCTCCCATTTCATAGGTTGTGTCTTCACTAGGTTGATACTATCTTTGAATAAGTAGAGGTATTTAATTTTTATGAACTCTATTTTCCCTTTGTTACTTGTGCTTTTAGCTTCATGCTTACCGGGTTTTGCAGACACAGTGCTACTTGGATCAAGTGTTTCTTGTGTCATCTTACCATTTCTAGAATTTGCCTTGTAGGGAGCCTGGGGCATCAGCCCACTCAAGAATCCCTGTTGAGTTTAGGAGCCCGTTCCTGGTGTGTACCTAAGGGGTGCAGTCAGTGTCGTCTGAGACCCAGTAGCTGTATTCTATAGGTGGGACTCTGCACCCTTCTTAAGGGCTGAGTATTACCCAGGTCACTGTTTGTTGCCTCCACCCCACCTTTTTTAGATGCTCCAGGGGCTCCCTTTTAGGAGGTCTTAGCCTGACTTTTCTTTAAGAGCTTGGTCTTGGAGCCCCAGAGCCTTCTCTGTTTGTCTTTGTCCACCCAGCACCCCTGATGAAGACACAGAAGTCCCCACCAGACAACCAAAGAAGGACATGGTCCCCTTCCCTCTTTCTCAGGTGAGTATGTGTGTGTGTAAAACGCACAGCTTTCTCAGCCCCAGCGCCCTGTGCTGCTTCTCACTGTCGACAATGCTAACTAACGAAGGATAGCAAGGGCTGCAGTTGAAGCAACAAGAAAAAAACAGACTTGTTTTTCTTGAAGACCCAGTTCCTTATCCCTCATCACCCTTGCTGCTCTATTCTTGTCCTGTTTGATTTACAGAACTCAGTTGGGAAGTTTGTTCCTCAGTTTTCAAAATCCAGGAAAACCGTGACAAGACAAACAGAGGACATCGAGAGTGGGGCCTTCAACCTGGTAAGGCTCTAACACCCGCCCTGCTGAGCCCTGCAGAGCCCCACACTTGGCCCAGCCTCCATAGCCAGGGTGCTTCTCCGTGGGCTGAGGCTCACTTCAGTTCCTCTGGCAACAAGCAAACCCGTGCCCTCAGCAATCCACCCCTGATGTTCAGCGCACCCCATTCTAGGGGTCCTTTGAATGTGTACCCAAAGTGTGTACAAGAGTGGGAGCTCACAGGCCTACTAGCGGCATTTAGGACAGCCAAGCCTTTCCCCCAAAGATAGTTCACTTTCCATCCCTCACCCCCATTTGTGTTTTGGGGGCTTTTGTGTGAATTAGGGGCTTAGTCATTTGCTTTAGGGATGGCAGTGTCACTGGTAACACATGCCCACCATAAAGGAGCCTGTAATCCCTCCCAAACTGGGAACATTTCAAGTGGCCTTCAACAGTGACTGGCTCATCCCCACCACAGAATACTACTCGGCAATCGAAGGAAGAACTGAGGACGTGCATGAGAAATGAGAGGGGAAAGCCAATGGCAACACCATATACATGCCGTGTGCTCCCGGCTCCTTGCCACAGCTGCCACGGCAGAATAATAAAGATCCAGCATAGACTGTGGTTCCAGATGAGGAACTGTGAGAGTGAGAGGCTGTGCTTGGTAGTATTGGTACCATTCAGGGTCTTGACGTTGGTGGACACAGAAAACACCACAAGTGACAAAATTGTCCAGAAAGTAAGACACATGCTGAATGAGTCCAAGTCACAGCGGGGAAATCTGAATGAGACGCTTGAAGTGGATCATTATCATCACTATGAAATGACTGCTATGGCAAAGCCCAGGGTCACCTACAAGAGCGTGGCTTACACACAGTCAGTGGATGTGCAGCTCCTTATTCACTTGGAGATGGGTCTAGGGCAGCTTCCATCACTGGTGCCAGACCCCATAGCCAGCGGGTCACACCCTGCAGCTGGTGGTTGTTGTGTACCCCTTGTACCACAGCTGGAAGACTCGTTCCCATGCTGCCAGAAACCAAGCCAGCAGTGCTGTTGGCCAGGTGTGTAACATACATACGTGAGCAGAGACTTGATGGGGCCTCCCCACAGGCAGAAGAAACTGGTGGAAAGAGGGCCTCGGGCAGGGCTCCCAGCACAGACTTGACAAGGCAGCAGGTGAGAGGTGGAGGGACCTGGGCCACCCATCCTCCCAGCACCCATGGCTCTGCAGGGGGCTTCAGCTGCAGAGCTGTGGTAAACCAGGGTACTTGGGCTCCATACAAGTGTCTCAAAGTAAAAAGTTAAAAGGCGAGGGCGGGCAGCTTCCTGATGAAGTGAAGGCGTATGTGTGTGAGACTCAGCAGGCTGATGGCCTGTGGCACTAGAATTGGTGGGTATCTGTAGTGCACAGTGCCTGCGCCGAGAACCGTGGAAGAAGCAGGGCTGAGGAGTGCATGCTGGGCGGAGCTCTGTGCCTCCTTGGTGGACTTCTTTCTCTGCGGCTCGTGTGTCGCAAAGTTTCGGGGCCAGTCAGGTGCAGAAGTTTTGGGTATGGGTTTTGAATGAGACAGTGTTTGTATCCCACCTCTGCTACTCGCCCACCCTTACTTAACCTTGGGAATGAGGCAGAATGACAGCACCGGGTCTCCCGAGTTCACTGCCAGGACTCTGCCAGGCACTGTCTGTGATGTCAGCACCTCACCAGCCCACAGCCTGGCTGTCAATGCTAGCCAGATGCTCTGGTGGTTAATTTGTGCTTCTTAAGAACTTTTATTGTGGTGAAATAGATAAGACCATGGAGTTTTCCAGTTCAGCCATTTTTAAGGGTCTCATTCATTGACATTGGTTGTATTCATGTCACCCTTTCAAATTCCTGATCTTTTTCATCACCCCCAAAGTGGTCCCCATTAGCAGTTCCTTCCTACTTGCACCACCCATCTGCTCCCTGTCTGGGTCCACCCAGTCCACAGGGCTCAAGGAAGTGGAATCACACATGTGACCCTTGGCATCTGGCTTCTTTCTGAGGTTCATCCACGTGGAAGCACATGTCAGTGCTGTGTTCCTTTTTAGGACCAAGTAGCATGCCTTCATGCTTAGTGAAGTAGAGGGTCAGCCAAGGAAAGAGCAAGACCCTTGAGATGGACTGACACAGTGGCTGCAAAAATAGGCTCAGACATAACACTTGTGAGGATGGCACAAGGCCAAGCCGTGCTCTGTTATGTTCTATGCAGTCGCTATGCGCTACGGGTCAGAACCAACTGCAAGGCATGCACCTACAATGTCCGGTTGCATGCATCCACCACCCTGGGTCTCCTCTGTTGAACTGCTGCAGAATGCCCGGGTAGTTCCCACCTGTTGGCCATCATGGACAGTGGCCACTTGCTCAAGGGGCTTGAGTCCCCTGGCTGTACTCCTGCTGGCAGACACTGCAGCACACGTGAGGGTTCACTTGGCCTGACGTTTCCGATTCACTCCAAGAACACATCCCATCTTCTCTGCATCTTCTCAGTCCCCGACTCTGCTGTGCTGCCCTTGCAGGAGTGGTGCTGCCGTGACAAGGGAGAACCTGTTAGGGACACCTGGCAGTTTTTCCTTTTTGAACTTTTTATTTATCTTGAAGTAATTCTAGACAAAGGAAGTTAGAAAAACCATACAAAGAAGTCCTCCACGCCCTGCTCTGGCCTTCCCCCAGTAGTAACATCTTGTTACACAACTGAAGTCCCTGGTCAAGACCAGGAAGCTGCCACCAGAGCCCTCCAACCTTCCAGAGAGCTGCCTGGCCAGAGAGGACACCAGGCTTGGGGTGATGTGGCGGGGGATGTGCAGGCACGTGGGACAGTGTGCATCAGGACAGTCTGCCCAAGGGTGGCCAGTGAGGGCCCTGCTGTCTTTCTTTCCACAGGAAACGCTGCTGGAGCCCACTGCCCCAAAGGGAGGAAGCCAGCAACTACAGGCATCCCTGGAGCTGGCTGCCTCTGAGCAGAGCCAGCTGCACTGCCAAGAGCTCCCCCTGGAGCCTGGGCCTGGCAGTGGGGCTTGTCTGCTTGGCACATCCACGTATAGCTCCTTTGTTTCAGAGAGAGCCAGCCAGCCACCTCTGTCAGAGCCAAGCAGGGTCTGTGCTCTCGATAGGGGCTGCAGCAGTTCAGAGCCTGGGTCCCCAGTAGAACAGCCTGGGGACAGTGGTCTGGCTTCCCAGGGTCCTGCCCAGGAAGGGTCCCGACCAAGCAGTGAGTCTAAAGGGAGGGACCCACATGGAGAAGGCCCCCATGAGGAAGGCAGTGATGTCCCAGGCACCTCAGGCCCTGCTCAAGGAGAAAGTGTGCTAGAACCTGGCTCGGCCGCTCAGGTCCACCCTGAGTACAAGCAGAGCCCCAGTCAGCCTCTCCTAGTCACCACAGATAGGAGCACAGACCCCACAGCACCACCACTGGAGCCACCCAAGGGGGGCATATTGGGTGGCCAGGCCCCTGACAGTGGCTTCATTGGGGCCTTGCTGAGCAACTTGGAGGCTTCGGGGGAGACGAGGCCAAAGGACCAGTCTTTGAGCAATGACCCCGGGCCCCCAGCAGCCTCCCCAGCTCCCGTTCATAGGAACCAAGAGCCTACTGTAGATGTTGGCGATCCCTGGCCTCTAGTCCCAGCAGCCAGTCCAGGTGCAGATTCGAAGCTGATGCCAGGGCCTACTCAGGAGGGGCAGGCAGGTACCTGCATGCTGCCTTCCCCAGAGGAATCTGAGGGTGGGAAGGCAGCCAAGTCCAGCAGTGATGGCCAGCCAGCTCCCGAGTCCTCAGGACGTGGCCTCCCCCTACAAGCCACTAGCCCACCAGCGCCTAGAGAGGTGCTGGATGGCCCTCAGGGGCCTGGAGCCTGCTCTGCTCCCGACGCCGTGGACCAGTCCGTCTGGGTGGATGCCTTGCCCATGGAACTCGACTTCCTGCCTGACAGCCAAATGCAGGATGCTTTGGATTGCCCGGACTTCCAAGCCCCACATGAGCAGGTAAGAGCTTCCCTGGGGCCCACCCCCAGCCTGCTCCAGGGCAGGTGGTGGCTAGCGAGGAGCCCTCCCACAAACTACCGCAGGGGCCTTCAGGAGTCTGAGTGGCAGCAGGGCTGGGTGATGGTAAGTGGTTGTCTGGAAAGTCAGAACTGCCTCTGAGGGGCCGGCCCCATAGGGCAGCTGAGGGATCTGGGGGCCTTTGAGAAGCAGTTACCTCACTGCCCAAGCAGTCACTGAGGTCCTCCCCTCTCAGCCCCGGGGTTCCCCCGCCCAAGAACCTTTGCTCATTCTTAGGGTCACTGGGCGTTCCAACAGGATTCAATTAGTTGACTTTAAATAATAGCTATGTGTATAAAAACGCATTAAAAAAATAAAACCAATTACAGATAGCCTTGAAGTCCCGCTGCCCATGTGCAGTGGACCCAGCCAGTTTGGTTTAATTTATATGTATGTATGTCTTTTTCACGTGTGTGTGTGTGTGTGTGTGTGTGTGTGTGTGTGTGTGTGTGTGTGTGTGTTTGCTTCCCCGCTGTGATTTGTAAGGGCTTTGCTGCCTGAGACCTGCCCACCTGACAGGGCAGTGGGAAAAGCTGCCCAGGTGTTGCCTTTTTTGGCAGCAGAGTCTATTCCAGGTGTTCCTAATCACCTGTCGGGGCAGGTGGCTGCCTCGGTTCAGGAGGTGTGGGATTCCTGGCGGTTGGTGCACCTGAGCCTGGCTTAGGGCTTGGCAACTGCAGTTGGGAGGGGCAGGCAGTAGTTTGCACACAGGTGCAGCCAGGACACTGAAGGGGTCAGGCACCTGCCGGAGGGGGCCCACAGTGAGCAGAGGAAGCAGCCGGCCTCCAGGCTGGTGAGGTGCTGACACTGCACCTCAGCCACGCTGTCTGGGGGTGAGGAGCCCATTTCTGTGGCCATCCCTCAGCACCTGTTTATGGAGCACCTGCACCTGGTTCTCCCCGAGGGGGCGTCTTCGTTCTGCCTGGCTCCTCCATGTAAGGTGGTGCAGCATGGTGAACTAGCTTGGCTGTTAGCCGGAAGGGTGGAAGAAAGACTTGCAGACCTGCTTCTAGAAACCCGGCTGCTGAGAGCCCTGTGTGGCACAGCTGTGCCCCGACACACTCGGGGTCACCATGAGTCAGGTCAGCTGGACACGGAGTGTTCCTAGAACACAGCTTCTGAGCGAGCACAGCTCAAATCTCAGCTCAGGGACCTAGGCTGGGTGGAGCAGAGTGGGGAGCGGTGAAGCTGGACTGAGTAATTGAACCATCAGCAGGGTCCCAGTGTGGCTTAGTGGAGGAGTCCTTTAAAGAACTGATCCTGGGTTCTTCCCTGAGTGAGCACAAGTCCTAGGACAGGTTCTGTCCCATCAGGAGAGCCCGTGGCCTTGGGGAGCAGCAGTGGAGCTGCTGAGAGTGAGAACGACCCTTGGGCAAGAAGAGTTCGGTGGTGAAGGACATTGAAACGGAGTTAAGTTGCTACATTGCCTACAGAAAAGAGGGGTGACCCATTATGTGAGTACAGTGAGGCTTCTCCCCCTGGTTCCACTGGTGCTGGGGGCCAGATCACTGCTTGCAGCAGGTCATCCCACACACTGTAGGGTATGTAGCAACCTCCCTGTCCTCAACCCAATCAGGTGGCATTAACCCTCCCTGCCCCCCATTATGACAACCTGACATGTTACCAGACATTGCCAAGTACCCCGTGGGGGCCGCAGTCACTCCAAGGATCGCTGGGCTGTAGGCAGGTCCTGCTCTCTTTTTTAAGAGCTTTCAAAAGTCCAAACTCATCGGCATTGAGTCTGTGCTGATTCACAGCCACCCTATAGGACAGAGTAGAAGTGGCTCTGTGGACTTCTGAGACTGGAAACCCATCTTTCTCCCTCAGTGGCCGGTGGTTGCAGGCTGCTGGCCTCATGGTTTGTAGCCTACTGTATAACTACTGCCCCACCAGGGCCTCTTATCTGTGCATCACCACAGTCCCCAAACAGAACATTCCCATCATTCCCCCAAATCCTTGCAGAGTAGCCACTCCACTTCCACACCCCTGGCCCCACTAACCTGCTTCTGTCTCTGGGATTTGTCTCTGGTGCTATGGGCTAGGTGTTGGGCTGTTAACTAAAGGGTTAGTGGTTCAGATCCCAGCCACCCTGTGGGAGAACAAAGCTGACTGCTCCTGTGATGACTGTCTCAGAAACACTCAACAGGGCTGCTATAAGTCAGAATCAATCAATGGCAGGGCGTGGCTTTACAAGGTGTCAAGGTGCCCTAGTGGTGCTGTGAGTGAAGCAATGAGCTGAAAACTGAAGGTCAGTGGTTCAAGCCCACCAGATGCTTCATGAGATTAAGATGAGACTGTCTGTTCCCATCAAGACTTGCAGTCTTGAAAATTATGGGAGGTGGTTCCCCTCTGGTTGAGGGGGGTGGGGGCCTTCCCTGTGAGTGGAATGGGATAGGACATGGTGTCAAGATTCATCCCTGGAGGGACATTTGGGCCCTTTCCAGCTTCTGCAGTTGTAGACAGTGCTTCTCTGCAGGCACCCCTGAGAATCTTTGGATCCGGGGCCCTGGACACTGGTGACTGGAGCCTCTTTCCCTGTCATCTGATTTGGAAAGGCATACTGAGAACAGGGCCCCTCTCCAGAAGAGGCGGCCCCACGGCCCAGCTGCAGCTATGCCTCTTAGAGGGACCTCAGGTCATCCCCGTGATCCAAGCTGACATTTCCACAAAAATTCAACCACAGCTGACATTTGGATACTTTCCCTTCATGTGGTTACCAGGCTGGCTCCTCCATTCATAAGAACTTGCCCTTTCGCACCAGGGGTTGGTGGGGAGGGGGTGGGGGGGGCAGGCAGAATCTCTTCCTGTTATACTAGATTCAGGGCTGCCTGGCTTCCCCTGACCTGGCTGTGCCTACCATGTGCAGCCGAAGACCCCAGTGGGCTTCTTGGCAACCTGCAGTTGGTTTGTCTGGTTAGGGACAGTGGGTGTATCCATGAGACCACTGGTGGTAACCTAGGAACCTGCAGGGGGACACAGCACCCAGGCGGGTGACTGTATCAGCAAGGAGAGTGGCTGGTCTCCCCCAGGAGGCTTCTTCCCACAAGAAGTCTGCTTGGTGGGGTTGGGGGTTGGGACTCAGGGCTGGCCTCAGCTGGCCATGCCCTGCATTTGTGTGCTTACTTTTCAGGCCTGCCCCGGAGGCAGCAGACCACCTGCCAACAGAGCCCCCATCACCACTGTCCAGCCCAGATGGGTATAGAAAGCTGCCTTTCAGTCCTGGGACCACCCCCCCTTACCCTCCCCAGGCACCCTCACATCTTCCATGTGGCCCCCACTCTGCCAATAAGGGGTGGGGGCAGAGCCAGCCTGCCTCCCCCTCTTTAGTCCCGTTTCCCCAACCAAATAAGAGCTAACTCTGCCTTTCAAACCCTCAAATCATAGATGAGTGTTCAGCATCCTCCCAGTAGGGTCCCTGGGGTGGTGCCCCAGTGCTCTGTGTTCATATGCATATCTGTGCCTCTCCCAGGAGGGTGGGGGGTCAGGAAAGCAAAGAGCCACAGGCTGACAGCACCATTCCCAGTGCTGCTCTCAGCTGTGGTACCCTCGCCACCTTGGTGCTTTCCCTCCAGGGAGCCACAGGGTGTGGGGGAGTCCTCCAACCAGCCCCTTGGGGTATCCTTCCTTCACCCTGTGCTACTGTCCTTCTGTCACCTTGCATGGGAACCTGCCTCTGCCAGGCACATTCAAGGCTAAGGCTCTCTGGGATGGGGGTGGGCCAAACTGGTCTCCTCTGCCCTGCACATGGTCTCAGCCGGTAGCTGTGGGGCCACCTGCTCTTCCCTTTTTCTTTCTCCCTCTTGTACTAGAGTCTTTGGTTCTCCCCACAGGGCACCCCCCAGCACAGATGGCACACAAGCCCCTGGGAGAGTTTTGTGGCCTTAGGTTTTAGGGTCCGATGCTGAGAGACACCCAAGAGGCTGAGGCCCATGAGCAGCCAGCCACCCTGGGGGCAAAGCCACAGCTACTGCCTGCAGGTGTTAAGCAGTGCAGTGCCCTAGGGAATCCCCAGCCTGTACAAATGGTTAAAAACCCTAAAAAACTGCTAGCCCAAAGGTTTGAGTCTACCCAGAGGCACTTTGGAAGAAAGGCCTGGTGATCTACTTCTGAGTTGGAGCAGGCTCCTGAGGATTTTGTTTTCACAACCCCTCCCCCCAGTTGCCTAATGTCCTGTGGGTGGGGACCATGTGACAGGGCTGCAGCTGCTGGGGAGCACTGGATTCAGGCACTAGTGGTTTTGGCAGGGCCAGCTGTGTTGACAATGAGGACTTTTGCCCCAAACAGAGAATCCCAAAACCATGCCACTGCTGCCGAGTCGATTCCAGCTCACAGCAGCCTTATAGGCCAAGGTAGAACTGCCCTGTAGGGTTTGGAGACGGAATCTTTATGGAGCAGACAGCCTCCATTTCTTCTAGAGTGGCGCCTGGTGGGTTTGCAGTTGGCAGTCCAACATTTAACTCGAGCAGAGTAAATGGGGGTGGGGGCGGCAGTACAGGGGCAGCAACTCAGCTACAAAGCCCCTCAAAGGTCCCTCTAAATGGTGCAGCATTGGGCTGGGCCCAAGTCAGATCAGGGCCTTCTGCCCTTGCCTTTCCCAGGCCCTGCAACTCCTCAGACAAGGGCTTTGAGGGTCCTAACCTGGAGGATGCCACGGCCACCGTGTGTGGCCTCGTCCTGGAGCTGTCCAATCTCAAGTGAGGACCGGGCTAGGGGGTGGGGGAAAGGGCAGGGGAAGGAGTGGCTTGGGGATCTGGGTGGCCCCTTTGGGAGCTCCGAGGGTTAAGGGTTAAGATAGAAAGGGTTGAGTTGTGGAGAACAGTGACAGCCCCCCCTCCCCCACTCCGACAGGACGATTTGGGTGCATGTGTGCCCCAGGTCAGGGAGGCTGTGTGCATAGGTGAGCATCTGCCCTCGTGTGAGTGTGCTTGTATATATGCACAAGCGTGTGTCTGTGCAGGCGTTGAGTGTACATGCAGGTGCCAGGGCAGGCGGGTGCGCATGCCCTCTTGGGTGAACAGTGCCTGCACCACAAGCGCCCCCGCAGCACATCTGCCGGTCCCTCTCACTCCCAGCCGACTGATCATGAGCACCCACCGGGACCTGGAAGCCGTCAGACGCCTCAGCTACCGGCAGGCCAACCTGGCAGGAAAGCCCGCCGCACCGTATGCCTCCAAGGGGGCTGGGAGTCACTCTCGCGGGGAACCGCCATGGAGGGACGCATAGGACAACTTCCGGCTACCAACTCTAAAAGGGTCGTGGGTCGCGCGCACTCGCGGTTCCTTTCTTGAAGGACACTCCTGGTGCTGGGAAGGTTTGGGGGTTCCTGCAGCTCCACCAAGGCCGGGGGGAGGGCAGCTTGATGTGTGGTTTCCTGCCACTGTTCTCAGCCCCATCCCTCCCTGAACCGTGGGCACCTGCGCCGCCTGCAGGCCGCCCGGGTCAGAGCAGCTTGGTAGTTGGGGGGCGGGGGCGCCCAGATGTTTATCTTGGTTTGCGAATTTCCTCCTTGGAGAGGTGATGGAGGGTTCAGAATTTGTTTCTTTGCCGTGTGAGAATAGGACTCCCTTTGTTGGTTGTATCCATTTCCGGATTTCCATTTCAGGAACAAGTTAATAAATGATTCATGAACACAAGCCAGCTTGCAGCTCGCCTCTGCTCTTTCCAGTTCTCCCGGTGAACCGCTCTCTCCCCTTAATCCCCACCCCCACGAAGACACTGTCCCTCCTGTGACCCATTCCCACCTTTTTGCTGGGACAAAAAGGGCTTGCCACCCCCACCCCTCCATCAGTATGTCTGACTACTCCTAAGGGACCGGGTGGGCACACCTGTATAGGTATGTGCACATGCAAACTCACAGATGTGAGCCCACTGGGACACCATAGCTAATGATTGGCCGGGAGTTTTGAGTCCAGTGCTCAGGTACCTACCCCTACTGGGCCTTGTCATCCTGGCAGACACATCTGTCCATCAGAGGGAGGCACCGCTCACAAGGACCTCACCAGACAGCCGACCTGGGGCACCAGGGGCCGTTGTCCTTGTCGCAGAGTAACACTGCTTCCATTAAATATGGCCAAGGCCACCTCCAGAACCCAGACAGGACTGCCCCTTCGCCCCAGTGCCAGAAGGGGCCAGGTGAGCTGGGGCTCCCCAAGGTGTGGCCACCCAGATCCCACACTTCTGTGATACCTCCTTCCACTCCTATCCAAGTAGACCTCCAAGCCGTCACTACAGTGCCCTCTGCTCAAGACCCAGCTGCCCTAAGTCCTGGAACAGTCCAATTCCCTGCCCCCAGTGTCCCTAACTCCCACCAATTCTCCCTTTGCTTGCTGCCAGCTGCGGGGCAGGTTCTGCAGTGCCCTTTGTCCTTAGGATGCCCATGGCAACACACAATCATGGGGCCTCCACTCTGAGACAGGGGGCTTACCCCACCAATACCTCCAGTGTGGGAATCTGGCCCATTCCTGAGTTTTAAAACACCTGAATTTGCAGACATGAGAAGCCCTGGCAAGTACAGTGGTTACATTGGGCTGCTAACCTTAAGGTTAGCAATTCGAAACTACCAGCTGCTCCATGGGAGGAAGATGAGGCTTTCTAGCATATAAAGTTTCAGTCTCAGAAGCCACAAGGGGCAGTTCTACTTGCCCAATAACTATCGTGAGTCAGAATTGACTCGATGACATCGAGTTCACAGATAGGGCCCCTGAAGCGGATCCCATGATGAGAGGATGTGATCAGAACCCCTCGGATGCTCACTCCTGTCCTGGAACTGGTCCAGCAGGAATTCGGGAGTAGTTGGGGGGGAGTGGGGTCAGGGTAGGTCCTGGGACTGGACTGAGCAGCGAGAGGGAAGAGGCCCTCAGGGCCCCCCAGCCCCAAACGCCAGAATGTCCAGTCCCAAGATGGTTTGATGTGACACTGCTCCATTCACACGGCATTTTATTGAGCACTGACTCCAAGTGGGTGGGGGTGGAGAGATGAACAGGACAAGCTGGGGGTTGGGGGCTAGCAGTGTGGGGGAAGGAGGTGGGGTGTACCTGGGACTCCTTTCCCATAGGAAGGATCAATCGATCAAGGCCATACTCCCAGACCTTGTCTATCCACTAGCCCTTGTGGCCTCACGCCTAGGTCTGGGGGCCAGTCCTGGTTGGGTGTGGTGTATCTTCCTGGAAATCCTCCCCCAAGCCTCAGTCCCTGTCCACAGGCGAAGGCAGGCCAGCGGGGAAAGGGGGGTTGTCGGGTGTGTGTATGAGGTGGGGTGGATGTCTGTCCTCCCAGAGCTGGCCTCCTAGGCTTAAGTGGAGGGATTGCAGCAAGAAGGCGAGGGTCCTGAAGGCTTCCTGGCACCTTTGGAACCTGGATTTTAAAAGGGGGAAGGAGAGGAGAAAAACAATATTGAAAATGATGAACTGTTATCCTCAAACATAGCCCGCTCCCGGCCCCCAAGTTGGAACTTCAGCCCTGCTGTGGCTTGGGCGCCACCTGGGGGCTGCTCAGAGTAGCAGCCCCAGTGCCTCCCAGAGCCGAGGTGGCTTGCTGGGCTGAAGAGAGCACTTTCCAGGGCCAGACTAGTCAGCCCACCGTAGTTTGTTTACTGGGCGCCTCAGGTACCCTTTCTGGGCTGGTATCCTGGCACTACCTCCCTCTAACCTGTGTGGGAATTTTCCTGTTCCTCAGGTTCAGGGGGGCAAAGACAGCCCCCAGGTTGTCATTTCTATGCCTCTTCTGCTTTCAGCATCTCCCACTTGGCCTTCCATCAAACCTTGGAATAAAGCCTGATCCTAACTGGGTTCCAAGGAAGGAATTTCGTTCATGTCCCAGTGCCCTCAGTGCAGCTTTGAGGTGGGAGAGGGATCAAAAGTCACCAGTCAGCTACCACCCCCAGGGAGAGTCTAGGGGGAAGCAGCACCCCTACAGCCCCTCCTCCACCCCTTCAGGCAATGAAAGGTGCTAAGTGGATAGGTTTCTCTTTAAAATTCCTGGAGCCCTGAGCTCTTTTGCACTGTTAATAATCCCAAACCCTTACTCCTCAAAGCCTGATACAATAGAGGGGACTGCAGACACCCAGGCCCCACCCCAGCCCTGCAGCTGGAATCTGCATTTAAACAAGGTATCCGGAAGTTAGAGAAGGGAAGAAAAAAAAAAAGAGAAAGGGGGGGGGCGGACTACACTTCCACAGTCCAGCCCAGCCATAAAACCTGCTGCTACCCAGGGCTGAAGACACACACACACACACACACACACACACACACACACACACACACCCTTTCCCATAGCTCCCCAGTGCCCAAGACTGAAGACAGACACACACAACTTCACATAGTCCCTAAACTGGCCACCTCACACACCTACCCTGGTGCCGGGCCCCAAACCTCAGGGCCCCCCCCTCCCCACCTGACTGAAAGAAACCTCCAGAAATCACTTCCTCCAGCAAGTCCTGGGCTGGGCCCCCATTCAGCACCTAACACACATTCCCCCCTGTGCCCCAGTAACTGTTGGGTCCTGCCCAGTGCCTGGCACAGGACAGACATGCACACAAGCAGGCTAGGCATTCTCCCAGCCACACTGCCCCCTGTACCACTGCAGTGCTGCTGCTGCTGCTGCTACTGGGTCACTGGGTCAGGACAATAGTACTTCCAGGCTACCAGAGAGGGTAGCAAGCCATAGGACACACAGCAGACCTGACCCTAGCTGCTTCACACTGAATACCACTTCCAGATCTGTTTTTAGAACACCCGTCCAAGGTCTCTGCCGGGGTCCTTGCCCTTCACCCAGCCCTCCAACATGGGCCCTGGGGTGAATCCCACTGCATGGAGGCCCAGGGGGTACTGTCCCACAACAGGGCCCTGTACAACATCCCACCTACCTGTTTCTCCTCCTCGGCCGTGACCCTGGACCTGCATCCTCGTCTTGTCCGACCGGACGACCTTCTTGCCAGCAGAGTTGCGGGTGTTGTAGCTGTAGACGGAGGTGTAGCCCTGGCCCGTGAGCGGGCAGAATCGGCGGGTGTGGGCCCGCTCTTGGGTGGCACCACATTGTGGACACACATAGTCTCGCAGGATGGGGCACAGCACCCGGCCAGCCTCGTCCTTGAGCTTATGAGACTGATAGATGGCCCGGGACTCCCCATTGTGTTTGCAGAAGGTGCACACGCGTTCGGGGGCCAGAGAGGACTCCGGGCCGGGCCTCTGAATCAGAGGCTGTGGAGCTGGCGGTGGCTGGGAGTCCAACCTGGTCTCGCACTTCTCTTCCCCACGCGGGGCCCCCACCAGACGGGCCAAACCCAGGTAATCTGTCCACAGGTTGAAAGTCCCCATGGCTGAGGGGAGAGCCAGGCAGAGGTGCCCGGAGAGAAACTACCTTGCCTGTCGCTCAGCCCCTTTCTCCTACTCCTCTGAGGAGCCTGGGAGTCTGGGCTGTCTGTTCCCTCCTCTTACCTCCTACCTATGAGGGGGTACGAAGAGGGAGGAGCCAGCCAAGGGAGG